TTAGCTTTAAAACATGGTTTTAAGTTGCTAAAAGATAAATGATTCGCATTTTAAGATTTGCAAAGATTAAACTGTTTATCAGCTATGGATCACTTATGTGGACTGTGCAAATCCGAGTACTAAGGGTGTGCTGCATTTTTAGAGACACTCTTTTGGATGAGAATTACACCAGAGGCCTCTTTGGTGAGCATAAAAGATCCACTGGCATTATTCAGAAGACCAGTGGAATCACCTTCAAAATACGTATAGTTAATCACCACTAAAATCAAAAAGATCACCCAGTGTTTGCCACATTGCTATTTATGCCTGGCTACTGTGCTCTAATCAATCAGGGTAGAAAGGAGAGGGGAAAATGACAACTAAAAAATTAAGAAGGCATAGAAAAAGAAAAAAATAAAGAAGGCATAGAAAAAGAAAAGTAAATTTTAATCCATGGCAAAAGCAGAGCAAACCGTGTAACATCAGGCTATTTCGAGCTTTAGTTTTTATTTTAACTGTTGTTCATGAAGATCTACAACTCGGATCCAAAAGAATCCGTTTGAAGATAGCATCAAGACAAAACTTATGAGGAGATTAAAGTTTTTGGGATGTGCCACTTTTTTTAAACAATCTAATTAAGCAAACAATTCGCACTTTAAAGATTTGCAAAGATTAAACTGTTTATCAGCTATGGATCACTTATGTGGAGTGTGCAAATCAGAGTACTAAGGCCCTCCCCATGGTAGGCTGCTGGAGAAAGTGAAATCACATGGGGTCCAGGGTGTACTAGCTAGATGGAGAGAGAACTGGCTGGGCAACAGGAGGCAGAGAGTTGTAGTGGAAGGGAGTTTCTCAAAATGGAGAACTGTGACGAATGGTGTTCCACAGGGATCCGTGTTGGAACCACTGTTGTTTGTGATATACATAAATGATCTGGAGGAAGGTATAGAAGGTCTGATTAGCAAGTTTGCAGATGACACTAAGATTGGTGGAGTAGCAGATAGTGAAGGGGACTGTTGGAGAATGCAGCAGAACATGGATAGATTGGAGAGTTGGGCGGAGAAATGGCAGATGGAGTTCAATCCAGGCAATTGCAAGGTGATGCATTTTGGAAAGATCCAATTCAAAAGCGAACTAGACAGTAAATGGAAAAGCCCTGGGGAAAATTGATGCACAGAGAGATCTGAGTGTTCAGGTCCATTGTACCCTGAAGGTGGCAACGCAGGTGGATAGAGTGGTCAAGGCGGCATACGGCATGCTTTCACTCATCAGACGGGGTATTGAGTACAAGAGTTGGCAGGTCATGCAGAGGGACCTGGGTGTCCTTGTGCATGAATCACAGAAGGTAGGTCTGCAGGTACAACAAGTAATTAGGAAGGCAAATGGAATTTTGTCCTTCATTGCTAAAGGGATTGAAATAAAAAGCAGAGAGGTTATGTTGCAGCTGTACAAGGTGCTGGTGAGGCCATACCTAGAGTACTGTGTGCAGTTTTGGTCTCCTTACTTGAGAAAGGATGTACTGGCACTGGAGGGGGCACAAAGGAGGTTCACTAGGTTGATTCCGGTGTTGAGGGGGTTGGCTTGTGAGGAGAGACCGAGTAGATTGGGATTATATTCATTGGAATTCAGAAGATTGAGGGGGGATCTTATAGAAACATAAAATTATGAAGGGAACAGATAAGATAGAAGTAGAGAGGATGTTTCCACTAGCAGGTGAAGCTAGGACAAGAGGGCACAGCCTCAAGATTAGAGGGAGCAGATTTAGGACTGAACTGAGAAGGAATTTCTTCACCCAGAGGGTTGTTAATCTGTGGAATTCCTTGCCCAGTGAAGTAGTTGACGCTACTTCAGTAAACGCTTTTAAAAAAAAAAAGTAGATTTTTTTTGAACAATAAAGGAATTAAGGGATACGGTGAGAACGCGGGTAAGTGGATCTGAGTCCACGAAAGGATCAGCCATGATCTTATTGAATGGCGGAGCAGGCTCGAAGGGCCAGACGGCCTACTCCTGCTCCTAGTTCGTGTGTTCTTGTGTCATGTCACCGTTGTATAGGACTTTGGTTCGACCACATTTGGAATACTGCATACAGTTCTGGTCGTCACATTACCAAAAGGATGTGGATGCTTTGGAGAAGGTGCAGAGGAGGTTCAACAGGATGTTGTCTGGTATGGAGGGCGCTAGCTATAGAGAGGTTGAGTAGATTAGGATTATTTACATTAGAAAGACAGAGGTTGAGGGGGGACCTGATTGAGGTCTACAAAATCATGAGAGGTACAGACAGGGTGGATGGCAAGAAGCTTTTTCCCCCCAGAGTGGGGGACTCAATTACTAGGGGTCACGATTTCAAGGTGAGAGGGGAGAAGTTTAAGGGAGACATGCGTGGAAAGTTCTTTACGCAGAGGGTGGTGGGTGCCTGGAACACGTTACCAGAAGAGGTGGTAAAGGCAGGCACGATAGCGTAATTTAAGATGTATCCAGACAGATACATGAACAGGCAGGGAGCAGAGGGATACAGATCCTTGGAAGATAGGCGACAGGTTTAGATAGAGGATCTGGATCAGCGCAGGCTTGGTGGGCCGAAGGGTCTGTTCCGGTGCTGTAATTTTCTTTGTTCTTTGTTCTAATGGGTGTTAGAAGTGCTGGACTTGAAGTCTGACACTAAGTTTTAGTAGTGGCAAGACACGACACATAATTTCTTAAAGTAAAAGTGCAATGAATTCGTACTAATACTGGTTATACAATCCCAATTGACACGATTAATTCAATTTCACATATGAAGGGTTCACGTAGGTGATGTGAAAAAGCAAGTTAATCTAAGAACGAAGGTTTCAAGGGTTAGTTATGCACTCCTTTTATACAAAGGATAATTTGCTCAAGTTTGAGGAGCTCCCTCATGCTTCAACACTGGTTCAAGATCTTTTAGCTGTGTTCAACTTATCTTTTACAAAATCATGTGCAATAAAGTCTAAGCTCAAAAATCTCCGTCTTCAAGAGACAACATTCAAAAAAGGTTGAACAGTCTAGATGAATACTTATTAATGCAAGACAGAAAGAAACAAGACTGGCTGGAGAATACTAGCAATGCACCTCCAGCTTTCCAATCACAATTTGGCTGCATAAAAGGGACAAGAGAAGTCAGGAATTGCACATTTATTGTTTATTTATATATTGCACATGTACACAAAAATATCGTTCAACTGTATTGTTTTTAAATTTAGGCATACCAATTCTGTCTTTTTTTCAAAAAAATCCAGCTCGACTGAAACAAGATTTCAGTTAAACTTTTTTTTTCAATTTTTCTGTTATTTGTACACCAGAGTTTACCAAAAATTCTTAATAGAACCAACAAGGAATTGATGGGTCACTTTTCAATGTGTATCAAAACCAATGCAATATTCAGAGAACCGTCAAACATGAAAAGCTTCAATATAAATTAAATCACAATGAGACAACAGTGAGGGAATTAACAAGAAATATCCTTAGGGAAAAGATAGATTTTGAATTGGAGTCAATTGATCGTAGCTCCAGATGCATCAACATTACAGAAGAGGTCTGAAACTCAAAAATCGACAGAAACAAATAACCAGGCACAACTCAGCTTTCCTTTCTTTCTCCCCGCATGTGTTTGGCGGGGTGGGGGGAGGCGGCAGAGAACGAAGAGAATCTAATAGTTTAAAACTAACAGGTCACCCACTTAATACAGTGATGAGACAAATTTGCTTTCCCAAAAAGGAAAGTTAATCTTTGGAATTCTGTTTCACAGGCAGCGGGAGAGGCTGGATCATTAAACATGTTAAAAATTTGTAACTCAGCCTTGGAACCTGCATCGAAGTTACAGGTTAGGAGGATTAAGAGGGTGGACTTCAAGGCCATAATCAGATCAGCTATGTTTGATGGTGGAGCAGCTTCAAAATCAACAGTATGGCTTACTCCCATTTCTTCTGCTGATAACATCGTGAAGCAATATTATTTAGTGATAGGGCTAAACCAACCAGATCACTTTCAGCCAAATGATCTTTGGTCATCTCATCTTGCATTCAGACCACATTTTCACTTTTCCATTAATTTCACCAATTAATGAGATGAGATGTTACTGTCCAGTTAACAGACAGTTGCACAGTTGATTCATCCCACAGCTTTTATTCAAGTCAGAAGGCATGTGACCTGTGACTACGACCAAGATAACGATCTTAATAGTCCTTCTTGACCGGACTGCAGTTTTTGACATGTTTGATCATACCATCCTTCCCCCATGTCTCTTCAGTGTTATCCAGCTTCCCTCATCTCTTTTATTCTAATCCAAATCATAAACAACAGCCTTGTTTCCCATTCAAATACAGTTAACTCTCATGTCCACTAAGGATCATTCTTTTGCTCCTCATTCCTCACTAACATGCTGCCCCTTGGCAGCCTCATACAAAGTCCAGATCCTCAAGTCCTCATTGAAACCCAAATCCACCTCACTAACTCTTTCAAATCCTTACAATACCTCTGTTTTCACTTTCTTATCCTGGCTTTGAGATGTTAGCTTCCTCAACTCTAACTCTCAATTAACTCATGCCTCAAATCACCTCCAATTTTAATCATTTCACTATCTTCAACATCTGTTGAGAAATTTAAAAAAAAAAGAGGGTCAATATTTATTGCTGGTAACTGTGTCAAAATTGATCAAGGACAGCATAAACCTTACACATAAACTCTGCTCTGCCCAAACACTACTAGACTTTTAATTTTCAGCAATTATTGATTGGATTTCCGAGTTCCAGCATTTGCAGTATTTTGCTTTTACATTAATGTTTTCTCCTGGATTCAAATCTACATGGCTCAAAAAGTGTATATCTAATTATTTACTTCAACCCCGGAGCCTGAACGTTCTTTGATGACCATGTACCCATTTTATCAGTAATGACACACGGCTGAACCCAGACAATTGGTTAATCTTGTTCAGGCACGGATTTATACTCAAGACAGAGCATATAACAGGGAAAAACAGCAAGGGTTGTAAATATAACTTCACTTACCAAGGATGTGCTGCTCTCTTGGGTGACTGTTCTAATGAGAAGTTTTACTAACAAATGCAGTTGCCTGAAAAAAAAGTAAGTAAACTTGTTAATTTGAAGACTACAACACAAGTTACTGCATATTTCCAAGTGTAAAAAATGATTGAAAATAATCAAATCCATTTAATTTTGGACAATGGAAGTACAAAAAAATTAATTTTGAAAGACTGAGCATATACTACAGTTAAAAGCAAGTTGAAATGCAGTATGGTGAACCCAAAGATATATGCTCGACAATGAAAATAAAAAGATCTATTTCTAACCAGTTTCAGCATCTGTTCCACAGGGTATGTGCCTGCCTTACATTAACAGTAGCTGCCCGAATATTCTAGCAGTTCAGTCAGCTACATTAGAATTCTACCAGAAGCCCAAAATACAGAGCCAACATCTATCTTCAGGGTTCCTATGTCCACAAAGTACATTTTCCAAACTGGTAGTGATAGGCTAAATACCAAGTCAGTTTAGTGTACATATACTTGAGAACAAACACTTGCAAAAGAAAAACATATATCTTAAGGGTCCCCTGCAGAAATATCACTACGATTGCACACAGGACAACTTGAACAACTTCTTCGCCTTGTTCATCATGTTCCAATCTGATCATTTGTGGGCTCAACTAAATTATCAAGAAAAAGAAAATGAGGCAAGTTGATTAAACACAGCCATCTAAGGACACTTTTGTGGCAAAATTCAGTGCAAAGCTAAAAATGTCAAGTTCTTTCATTTACTATAAAACTCGCATTGCTGGGTAAATGGGCATGCATATCATTAGAGTACTTTGCGACATTAGCTTGGCTCTTCTAATTTCCTTGTTGGGTTTTTCTTTAGATGAAAACAATGGCTTAGACTGCGGTGCCATCTGAAGTGGCAATCATTTGGCCAGAAGACTCCAAAGGCCAGTGCAAAGTATATCAGAACAACTGTGATCCATCAGATCAAAGCGCCATCCTTTACTCAACAAAAGGTCTAACAGGGTCAAAAAAATCACATGAGACTAGATTATAGGTTTACCTGAAGGCACAAGCTTTCACAGTCTCACTCCTGAAGGACAATAACTTGGTATCGTATGATTTTTGACCATGTCCACCCCACTCCAACACCGGCACCTCCACATCAAAGAGTAACAAGCGCAGTACTTCTGTTGCAAATGACTGGATAAAACAGCGACAGACAACTTCATCCTCTCACTCAGTCCCCTCCAGTGAAGGCAACTGTAACTGGGGAGGTGATGGCCTCACGATGCTGTCACTGAACTATTGATGGAAAGATCCAGGGTAATGCTGTGGGGGACCCAGGTTCAAATCTGCCACGGCAGATGGTGGAATTCGAAGTCAATAAAAATCTGAAATTAAACAGCCTAATGATGATTGGCTGAGAGTCAGGAAAGCCCATATGGCTCACTAATGTCCTTTAGGGAAGGTAACTGCTGACTTTACTAGGTCTGGTCTACATGACTTCAGGACCCCATCCACATGGTTGACCCTTACCTGCCGTCTTCGCAAATGCTGGCCTAGCCACTGACAGTCATCCCATGAATAATAAAAAAAAACTTAGCATAATCATGGTGCTTCCCTCAATGATCAAATGTGGGATAGCCCTCGTTACTATATGTACCGCTATTCCATACTGGACCAAAATTAAAACTGTCTTTAAGACATTGGGTCAAGAAATGAATTTCTATGTATAACTTGAGTCAAGAGACAAGCAGGTGATGACCACTCATCAACTGTTCCAGGTAGCACAAAACCACTAAAATTAAAGAGAACTGCAGATGCTGAAGATCTGAAACAAAGGAGAAATTGCTGGAGAAACTCAGCTAGTCTGGCAGCATCTGTGGAAAGAAAGTTGTGTTAATGGTTCAAGTCCAGACTAACTGGTTCTGAAGGGTCAATTCAATGTGGAGCTGGAGGAACACAGCAGGTCAGGCAGCAGAGGGGCAGGAAATTTGATGGGTTTACACCTGATGAAGGGTGTAAACCCGATACAGACTTTCCTACTCCTGATGCTGCATTCCTCCAGCTCCACACCGTATTGGCTCCGATTCCAGCATCTGCAGTTCTTGCAATCTCCTAGTATCTGAAGACGGGTCACCAGACTCTAAAAATTAACTCTGCTTTCTCTCAACAGATGTTGCCAGACCTGCTGAGTTTCTCCAGCAGTCTGTTTCTGTACCAGTAGAATTCAACTGTTTTTGTGATCCCTAACATCAGGATTGACATATTGCCTCAGTGAGCAGAGGATGAAGGAGGCTTAAAAATATCAAAAGTCAACTACAATGCTTTAGGATATGGATCCAATTCAAAAACAAAAAGAATAGAAAAGGACAAGAGTCTTGACTTTTTTACAAGTCAGGAATGCAAGAGCAGCTGTCTCAAGCAGATCAGTGCACTCACGTTTATAGTTTACAATGCTGGTAATAAAAGGTAGAAAAAAAAAATAGGCAATGGACTCTATTCAAGAACTTGCAAACATATAAAGGATCTTTCTTTCTGGCAAAGAAAATTTTCCTTATTTTGCTTTCTTTTGGATAAATCTTCAAAGCAAACATCGAACAGCACTTGGGTTGCAATCTATTCAAAACCATGTTAGTACTTTTACCTCAATTTTTGAGGGATGAACTACAGGTTTCATTTACAAAAATAACAGCAAGAAACAAAAGCTCAGGCCAAATATTCCTTCATGATAGTCACAGTCAGGCCCTTCCTAAGTAATTAAAGTTCTGCTGTTGCAAACCAAGAACTATTTTCATTTGATTACGTCTACAGCATTTCTGTGGGTAACAGAAGAACATCCCTACCACATGCTAACCTGGAATGACAGCACCCGCATTGAGAAAGTCCCAAGAAAACACCCAAACATTCCAAACACTGATACAGCACTATCTACATGTTGGATTTGTTTTTAAGTTGGTGATTCACGGGCTTGTATCCACTGCCACCAACCCGGCTCCTGCCCCCCACCTATACTCCAGTATTCACATGATTTCAGGGGCAAATGGGAGATTGAGCCACTCAAATTAAAAAGTCCTAGGTAAGGCTTCCATCCTATAGCAAGTCAGATAACCTCAAGGGTGTAACAAGGATTTCTTCCTGCTGAAAGAAAGGCAAAACAATAACAAAAAAGCTCCTTGCCCATGATTGCTACCCAATGACTTCTGATGGAAAGTGAAGATGCATGCAGGTCAGGAGGTGCGTGAAGGTCTAGCTTGGAATTGCTAATATACGCTCAGTTTCTCTCAAGTTGAATGGTAACTTGAAGAAACTACTGCAGGGCAACGGTATCTTGGGAATGGACGTCAGCACAAATTAGCACTTTTTCCACAATCAGTGGCAAGTAGAAAACAACACTAAGAAACAATTTTCTTACATGCCCAATTTCAAATATTCATAGCAGAATTCTAACGAACACTACCAGAAAATACAGAGTGATGGCTTTATGTTGTTCTTCCTCAGGGAGTTGCAATATGAGACAGACAATTTCATGAGCAGCATAGCAAAACAGCAGGGGATGGAGGAGAAAAAGTACAGGGAAATAACAAAATCATCCAGTGGCTGTACACGTGTATCCATTCCAAAAACAGATCTGGAAGAAATCATTCATTCATTCTGTCATATATTGGTTTTGAAAGGATTTGAAAGGCAAGAGGACAAACATTTTTTAAATTCAGCACAATGGTATGCCCCCATTCCAAACAACCCTTTTTTCTGAGGTTATCTTTCTACGGATTTCAGGAGCATCCTGAGCCAAATCTGTCAGTCAGTTTTCATACAATCAACCTAGGAATGGTTCTTTCCTTCATGTCAGGACAAAGGGTAAGCAAACTTGAGGCATTGGCTCGGTTTTTCTCTTGATGGATGCCGCCAGGCTGCTGAGTTTCTCCAGCAATTTGCTTTTGCTTCCAATCTCCAATATCCGTAGTTTTGTTTTATTTTAACCATTTATTATGGGTTCAACAACTTGATAATCAGCCTGCTTATCTTTCCAACAATTGCTCATTAGCCCTCAAAAGAGGGAAAAAAGAAGTGTGATGATATCAAACGAAGGCAGGAGGCCAATTTTAGTAACTCAACAACTGTTGCAACTGAAGCATTATAAATTTAACACCTCCACTTCTCAGGTCATCTTTCAAGCCACTGGACTTCGAAAATTCAGCAGTTTTGCTTCAGCTTGGTAGCTGACTTCTTGAAGTTCTCACCTGGGAACCAGACAGTAACAAAATTTTAAAGACAGACAAAAGTGGTACCGTTTGCCAAACACACTTTTGCTTTTAAATGGAGGTTAATAATTTCATACTGACAGAAAGATTGACGTCTGAAGCTTACATGCATGCCGTTACACAGTGAGAACAAACCCACGATTACATACCCTGAGAAGTATTTGAAAGCCAAGGTCATTCACATCTGAAAATTTTGTTTAACACATGGAAATTCCCATTATGACGACAACAACCCACATTATGACAACATGGCCTCAGCCCACAAACTAATTGTTGGACAATTCATAAGGACCAGGCAGTGCTGCATCTCTCTCACCTATGAGTTCCATAAGCAATAACAATAAGAAAAATATTCTACTCTACTTTCGAAAGACACAGATGATCCAGGGCGTAAAAAAGGTTTCCTTTAAAAACATGAAGGTCATAAAATTGAATATTCTGACATTGGAGTTTTGAAACATCCAGCACACATCACAGCTTCATGTCTTGAACTGGTTTGAGATGCCACATTTGACAAAGGAAAAGAACGATTCACTAACCAGATATTTGGTTTAACACAAGCATTAAAAAAGGGAGTAAGATGTACCAGACCCAACAGACAGCACATCAGAATCAGGGTAAATGATTTAAGACTGTGAGATGGAGAAATATTTTCAGAGGTAATGCAGAGGAATTTGCCACTCCACAGAAGCTCAACCATTGAATTTGTTCAAGACAGATGATAAAGGAGGGCAGCATGAGAAAGGGGCTTTGAAGCAAATAATTAGTCATTATCCGGAAATGGTGAAGCAGATTTGAATGGCGGCCTT